GCCGGCAGGGTTTTGGCCCGGGGGGGTTTGGGCAGCGCGAAGCTTCTCATCTTCGCACACTCGTGTGGGACCCTCCTCAAGTTTTAAGTCTTTATTCCCGATTTTTTTTCTCATGTAAGTGTGTATTTCACCTGCAGAGGTGTGGCTGTCCCAAAGCGACCCTGTGCCTGCCTGGTGTGTCCCTGTGTGTGTGGTGGCCTGTGTGGGGGTGGCAGGTGCGGGCTGGGCGGCGGTTTGCCAGGGCTGGGTGCGCAGGAGCTGGACCCCAGGTGTTACCGCACCTGGCTCAGCAGTTGCTGGCAGAGTGATTCCTTCCTTCGGGAGTTTCCAGTGGAAGCAGACTTCAGAGCTGAATTTAAAAATCCTTCAACAGGGAGTAGAAACTGACTGAAATTTAACCCGGATTAAAAATAAAGGAAAAAGACTGTATTTAGGAATCAGTGCCGGGTTCTGGCATATTGTCGCTCTTTTCTGTTAGGACAAAGCTGTGGTTTTGCATCGTTCCGGTGTAGGAAGAAATTTTTTCCTGTGCGGGTGGTGAGACACTGTCCCAGGTTGCCCAGAGAAGCTGTGGATGCCCCATCCCTGGACGGGTTCAAGGCCAGGCTGGATGAGGCTTTGAGCAACCTGGGCTAGTGGGAGGTGTCCCTGCCCATGGCAGGGGGGTGGGACTCGATGATCTTTAAGGTCCCTTCCAATCCAAACCCCTCTATGATTCTATGAAATCAAATGTCCATTTTCTGTCATCAAAACTTACATTTTTGTATTCCTTATTAATGTAGTTTTGTATTTTAATTTTTGTCTTTTTTTCTTCTTCTGCCCTGGAAGTTATAATGTCTATTTGTCATGTAGTTTATTGTCCTGGGTTCAGCTGGGACGGAGTTTATTTGCCAGTAGGGTTGTACCAGGCTACATTGATGTGCGTGACCTCAGATGAGGCAGAAAGATGTGTACTGACTGGTGTGTGTCCTGCTTGACAGGTGGTGATAAGTCACATCGGTATGATCAGCATCCTGTGGTACACCCGCAGCTCCTCCTGAGACTGATCGTAGGAGAGGGACCTGCATTCACATTCATTTTCCTGCTGGCATTAACTTTGTTGATGTAGTGATTACTGGTGAAGATAAGCCATAGAAAAATAAATGCTTTTCTTAATTAACAAGTAAATGCTGATTTGGAAACAAACTTAGGCTAACCCTAAAGAGATACACTTGGAATTAAGACATGTGAGGGAAGGAGAAGTAAATGAGATCAGTAAAGGATTACTGTAGACTGTAGCTCATGCTCTCTTTTGCAAAACTTGGGTGAAAAGTTTCTCTAGGTGAATCTTGACTCAAGTTCACCGCTAACCTGAGAGAGTATCTTCATTATTCAAGCAGGAATATAATAGATACATTTTAGTTGCAGAACAATATTTTGTGATCTAGTACTATGTAGAGTTTTGCAGGTGGTGAGAAGGCTACTAAAAGCTCTTAAAGAGTTTTTGTTTCAGATATGAAGTTGTTGCATGCATCTTCACCTTATATCTACATATCCTAGCAGAGTTAATGTAAGAAAAGACCTCTAGTCAAGTAGTAATTGGTCCTTTTATGCCATTATCCCACCCTTTTAATGTCCAAGTTGTGGTGCCGCTGTTGGATGCTGGGAATGCATATGTAGTTACTCACTTCATCATCACGGAATACTCACAGAATCCAAAGCTACTTTATGAATGAATTTTAAAAAATGAATTAAAACTTTCTTTCTGTATTTGACTTCCAAATAAGCATTAAATCTGTAGAAAAGCCCAACTAAACTGTTTGAAGAAATGGCAGTTATCCAGTGCATCCTCTGAGGCTGCCGTGGCACACAGGGAACAGTTCTCTCTGGCATTCCCAGTTTCCCATCAGATACTGGTGTGTTTTGAAGCAGACCTAGCACACTTGGAAGGGGCTGGCAACAAACTGTGTAATTGTTTCTCACTTTCAATACTACGTTATTTGTAAGCAGCATTAATTCAGGCGCCTGTTCTCAAAATGCATCATCTGGGTTTCAGTGCAGTTCTGCTCTTCAAATGCTTTGTCTTTAGGGTTCTTATGAACACCCCACACCACAGGATTCCTCGCTGTGGCATGGAAAGGCCTGCCTTGAAGATTATTCAGAGATTATTTTATGAATAGGAAAAAAATACGGCTGAATAGAAGTTACTCATTAGAAAACATGTATTTTCTCCTTTAAAGATTAATATAGAATACAACACTAGCATAGTTTAAATTTTTAAATATTAGCACAGAGTAATTTAATTTTGAAGATTTACTGAATAATCAGGAAATAATAATAAGGAAAGTGTAAGGAATTTCCTATTACTTGACCAAATTAATTCTATGGATGGCTTTAAGAATAAAATGTGTGAATGATGAAAAAAAAATACACTGGGTAAGGAAACCAACATTGTTATAAGTTCCTGGGACCCTAACCTCGCTTTTAACCTACTGACAGCTCTACATCTCTCATAAGATCTAGGAAAATTCTTTCCCTTAATTTGGTCAGCAAAATAGCTGCATTCTGCCTACCAAGCAAGCTAATTTTTATGATGTTAGTGATTGTTTATGGTCTTGTTTTCTGATGTGCTCACTTGCTGTGCTATTCTCTGTATACATTTTGAATTTCTGCTTAATAATTTGAAATACTTTGTATTTTTTGTAGCCCGACTGGATCCCATGTGGAATGGTGTAAACAGCTGATAGCTGCAACCATTTCTAGTCAAATTTCAGGGTCTGTCCCATCAGAAGGTGTGTCCAGAGACTTCAGGGTAAGTGACTTGAGGAATGCGTTGATTTGTGTAAGATAAAAGGAGTGAATGATCAGGAAAGTCCTTGCTACCTTGATTATCAGGTGGTAAGTACTTAAGTGATTGCTGAATGTTTCAGAACTAGAAACATCTCATTATGTGTGGGAGTCTTTTGAATCTGCTTTGTGTTTTTCTCCATATTTAGAATAGTGGCATTGAAGTCTACAGAATAAAAAGTAGAGAAAGGTGAAAAGAAAATTAAATGTTTTGAGTAGAATGCCAAAAGTGAGTTATCTTTTCTTTTACTACATAAAAAAAATTGGTAAAGTAGATTAGTAGTTATGGGCTGAAATTGTTTCTAGCGTGTGTCATTCAGAGTACAGAACTGAGCTCTCCAGATCTCACAAAAAATAAATGCATATGTCTTTGTTACTGTGCAAAGAACATAAATGACTGTCATTTTTCATGGGGTTTCACCAGAGACAGAGAATTTAACATCAAACAAACAAAATCACCTTTTTCATTCCCTCCCAGCAACGTTTTTGTCACTAAGGTAACAATTGCACAGTATGGTTTACCTGGTAGGTTCCATTATGCTTTTTTACTCCTGCTCTTCCGTGCTTCTTTGCCGTTTCCTATATGCACGCAGCCAACTGAACTATCAGGAGTGGAGCATGTGCAGTTTTCCTTCTCTTACAAATTGCCAGAAGTCACCTGTGTTTCAAGTCCCGTTAAGAAACCCAGGCTGCTGCTATCTAGATCCTTTCTCCTTCCTAGATTTGAAACAGTTTCATGGTCTTCATGCAAAATGGCCAAGTGAAGATTTTATCTTTTTTGTTTGTTTGTTTTAAGTAGATTTAAAATTGTCTAATATGCTCTGTTTAAAAAGTTTGTTGTCCAGAAACAGCATATTTTAGACTCCGTGACAGCAGGTCAGATTTAGCCCAAACCTGAAGATGAATCCACAAAATGTTTTTGACCGTAGTCTATTTAACTCACCTCACAGTTTCACACTATTGGCAAAGTCAGCAGCTTACACTCATAAAAAAGTATAGCTCTTCCATGCTATGGCAGCTGAATTGCAAAAGCTTACTTCAGGTCAAGGCTAGCATCTTGGATAAAACATTATGGGAAACCTTGCATTGCAGCTGTCGATGTTGTATTTGCCCTGTAGATCAAGGACTCAATTTTAGTAAAATCTAAGCTTGGTGTTCAGTTTATCTCTGAGTTAGAACACATTGTGTTCTCTGTAGTTTCTCTGTACCAAGTTCGTCTTTGATATTATTTAACAGGAATAAGTCTCTTAAGGCCTAATTAGAATTCTACTTCATTCTCTATTTCTTAGAAATGAAAGAAAAAATTAAGCCTGATGGTATTCAGAATTTTTGTGTATAATTTGTATTTGGCATCATTCCATTGCTGTGTATAACATAATGGAATTTTTTATCCTAGAATATTTTTAGTTACATTCAGGACCGGTATCTTGTGAAGGGGTGTCTCTGCTTTAGGAGAGGGTTTCCTTTGCACTTAGCTTCTGCTGAGGTTCAGGGCTATGATTAGTTGCTTAGTCAGTGCCAGGGGCAGGCTGGGTTTATTCATTACTACTATGGAATTCACATGTAAAAAGATAACACCCATTTATAATTCAGTTTTCCTTTGAGAGATCGTTCCCTTTTGATGCATGCTGATCAGTTTTCTGGTTTTTGTTACCTTTGGTTACCTCAAATTGCTGCATTTAGAGACTATCTTACAGCAGCTCAGAAGCTTCAGGTGGGGCCAGGTGTGTGTGTTTGCTTCTGGAGCGGGTTAGGTGGCTCTGTTGCTTTCTGCTGGACTTACCAGGAACTCTCTGCTTTATTTGTCCTTTCATCCCTTTTTTGATATTTCAAAACAACATGTTTGCAAAAACAGGCAAATATATAAATTCCTGTATCTAATGGTGTTACTTTTGTTACTCTGTGCAACTCACCTTACTACAATGTAATTTAGGGGAGGAGGGGATCAAATGAGAGCACACGGGCTGCAGATGAAATCATCAAAATTGAAGCAAGCTCTTGCTGAATGATCTCACTCCGAGTTTGAACTCTGCTGTGTATTTCTTCCCTGACATACTCTGTCTGGAGCCTGTGCTTGAATGAGAGGTTCATATAAGTGAAAATTGCTTAGATTATAGTAGCTGAACATAGATACCTTCAGGAATAAGTTGAGAAGAGTTGTTGCTATCCTTGTTTTGCCATTTGAATCTAAAAGATAGGTGGTTATACTTCATGGCTGTTATTGCAGGCTTATTGTCTTCCACCTAGAAGGATTACCAGGCTCTTTCTTCTCTTTTCACAATAGCACATTGTAACTGGATAAAAGGGTGATTAGGAATGAATGTTTCAAAAGAGCTTGGCATTTGTTTCATCACTAAAATGAAGTGGCTAGATTGTTTTTAGGGCAAAACAATTCTGCAGATGAGAGCTACTAGATCTGCATAGTTTTGTTCTGTTCTTTCAAAATCTGGCTATAATTAAAATGTTTGGAAGTGGAGTTCTTCTGAAAATCTGATGAAGTAAATTATAATATCTTTGACAAATCAAATCTGTGTGTTTTGTTGGATAACATTTTATATTTTAACTAACAGGTGTACAGGAGGCCTGTTATACGGGTAAGATTACCTTTGGCTAGCAGTGAAACGGCCTCCTACCTGTTTGTCTTTTGTGCTGTGTGAGATCTTGGTGTGTCAAGCGTTCTTCTTTACTTCGTTCATGGTTTTTATGAACCAGTCAGACCATTTTGCTATGCAGTGCAACAGCTTCTTTGCCATAGAAATGCTTTATATACATTACAATGTTTTTGTGAGCAATAAAAGTCATTGTGTAAGAGAGCAGTATTTTTAAATTATGTTCTGAATGTGCAATACTAACTTCAGTTTTATTACATTAATTTTGACAAAATGGATGCTTGCAACTGAGGCTTACATGCTTCGGAGTACAGAGTACTGTATTAGCAGCTCTAACGTGTTATCTCTGCTAAAGAATATTAATGGTAAAAGCGTTACATCTTTGTCTGTCCTATTTAAATAAAATTCCAATTCATGCTTGCCTTTGTACATGTTTTACCTTAATTGTTACCACCCTGTAGTAGGATTGAAAGTTAAGTTTGAAGTTAGACACTAGTGCAATGACCTGCATCATTTTAATGATAATTTTGAGAATAGGTCTTGCCCATTGTTCATTGGAAATATAAGAAGGGCATGCCTTGTTTTCTTGTCCCTCTCTCTTAGTAACATTTATCGAGTGAGAAATGATCTGGATAGTGTTCTGACATTGTTCATGAAATGTGTCTACCACTTCTATTCAAACAAAGACCTCTTGTTCAGTCTCAAACCAAGAGATGAAGTCTGAATGATTTCTTTTTCTCATCTGTTGTTTACATATTTGAAAATGATGTGTTTAGTCCAAGCACACAAATCCACAAGTTCATCTTTTTTTCCAAACAGATAGCTCTTGAAATAATTAGTCTGAATTGAGTAACAAGAATTGGTTGTTTTTGTTCAGTTTTTCATAGTTCTTTGTAAAGGCTTTGATCTTTGAATGATCTGCTGTGCTTCTCTCTCTTTCATTTATTTAAGATCTTTTGGTGTGTTTGCTGGTTGTCCTTCTAGTTTTCTTGCAGAGATCATAATATCTACTTTACTTTAATTTCAGAAACATCATTTTTATGGTCTGAAGTTTAAGTAATTTCTATTTAACAGCTTTGCACCAATATGTAAATGTTAGGAGTCCTTTATAATTTGAAAGGGTTTTTTAATTAATTATAACTTTTAAAACTCTTGTAGAGTCCAAATTATCTGAAGAGGTCTGAAGTCCTTCTAAGTTTTTCTTTTTTGAAGATTCTGTAGAAATACCGTAAAAAGAAAAATTGACTTTAGCAAACATTTGTAAGTTTAGACTGAAGCTGGTTTTACAGTCTCTCAAGTGAGAAATTCTTTGCCTGTGATCTGGTGATAATAGACTGTCATGAACACCACTTTGCTCCAGTTAATGTAGAAAGAAGACAAGAACAATTTCGACTGAACGTATTAAAACAATCACTTCATATGACCCCATGACATCTGTGCTTCTCTCTGGAGTTCATAGGGACTTTATTTTTATTAAAGAGATTTAATTAAGATTTAGGATTTGCTGCCAATGTGATGCAAAAATAGATTAATCTAAAAATGTGAATTGTTTGCTTATTTTGCTATGAGGAGTAATTTTAGGTTCTGGAAAGTTACTGACTAGGTTTCCAGCAACAACACAGAAGTTGCTGGAAAAATATGTGACACTATAAAACTGAAATTTCAATTAAAACATGTTTTACCCAGAAAAGTGTTTTTTACATTGTTTAGATACTTCTATTTGACCTTGACCTATTTTTTCCTTGAAAGATTGCATGAGTTTTCCCCTAATGCTACCATTGCAAGCTGTACTCAGTTTCTTCTGTTGATAAGCATGCAGCATACTTTGAATTCATTTCCTTCATTATAAGGTTGTTTGTCTTAAAAAGACAGTACATACTTTTATGTTCTTATCTACCAGAATTGACTCTTTTCTGAAAAAGGAAGTGAATTTTTCATTTTCTGTTGCACCAGATAACATTACAAGGATAGTGCTAATGGCTTGGGTTCCTTTCTGTGTGAAGCAGTTTGTGCCAGGAGTGGAAGATCTTGAACGGCTGAACAGGAGTTAAAGTATATGCTGTCTTTTTAAGGAAAGATGAAAAAAAAAAGAAGGGAAACAAAAAGAAGATTCTGTCCTTTTACCTGTTGTCTGCATGTTTTTTCCTGTGACTTCTCTCTTGCCCTACTGCTGCCTCATGCAATGCAGGAGATTCAGGATGGACACAATGGCTATCATTCTGAAGCAGAACCTGATCAGGTGGCAAGTTTTACTCATCTTTCATTCATTAACTGTGTAGCAAGGTACTATCTATTAGTACGTGTACAGTACATAGAAATCTTATATTTCTCATGTAAGAGAATCCGTAGAAAACATTTAGTGTGTTAACCAGTTATGTGCTAGGTAGGGTTTTCATGTAATGTCATGTAGCCTACAATGTATGCTGCACTTAAGCCCCTGACAGAGCACATCTGTCCTTATAAGTATTGGCTAATACTATACACATCTTCCTCTGTAATTGGGTGCTAAATATAAAATGATGTTAGTTTCCAAGGAAATCTAAAACCAGAGATCAATTTAAATATCTTTAGAAACTAATTATTAATGAGGGCTTGAGTTAGTTTGGAGGCAGACAGATCATACCAATTATTTGTATGCGGATCAGAGTTGTAATATAAGGGAAGAGTTATTTGTTTACTGTAACATACCCCATTATGTTTATTCTCACTTCAGGATGTAAAAAATTGAAACATTAATATCTCATCATGTTGACCTGAGACAGATCCCTTTCCCACATGGTCCTTAAAAGTCCAGCAAACTCTTTTATTCTTAATTAAAATCTTTAGTACATTGTAAATCTTAGCTGCCAGCGAAGGACCCAAAGGATCAATCTTGTATCATTCAGGAATGAAGCCATTTACCTAAATGAAAATTTATGGAACTAGACCTTATTTTAAAATTGCTAATTGTTCTTCTATATTTCATTATTACTTTGTTCTTAATCTGACCTTCTGGATCCAAAATTCTTATAGTGGTCCTCTTCCATAACCTGTGGCACTCTCAGTAGGGTATTGATTGAATAGAGCATCGTGGGCTGTTTCTGACTCTTGCTATCGAAAATACAAAGTTAAATTGTTAAATGAATAAAGCTTCTGGCATATAATTCTCTCAGATGAAAATGCTCAAACATTAAATAAAAAAACACTAAGAACAGAAAAAAAAAAATACAAGCTTTAAAATGTTCTCAAGTAGGTAAAATACCCCAAATAATCCCTGTATTTAGCAAAAGACTAACAAATTCTTAATCACAAATTTGGGCTGTATGCTATATGTAGCTAGCATGTGAACTAATTGTTGCATAAATGCTTTATTACTAATATGTTACTAACATGTATGTCTGTGTAATATTTATAATATTGAGTTTTGTCGGTGGTTCTTTTTTACTCTGGTACTGCTTAATACAGTTGTGCCTTGTAAAAAAAGATACATTTCTTGTGTTCCGGTAATCTGGTAGTAAAAGCACTTTGCATCAAGATGTATCAATGTAGTACAGATGGAAGGTGAGATTTACTCATGGTTTTGGATTTCTGCCAGGCACTGCGGGATGGAAACAAACTAGCACAGATGGAAGAGGCGCCACTTTTTCCTGGAGAATCAATCAAAGTTATTGGTAAGTCACTGGTTTATTTATTTAAAAACAGAATATTATTTCCTCTTGACTTTTGTTATTTTAATTTAATGCCACTTTAGATTAGCTGATTTGATGTGGATTTCTTTTCTTTGTCTCTTAAATCCAGATATAGGAAGGAGAAATCAGTTCCAGAGGGTGACTTGCTCCATATAGATAAATTTTTTTTTTCATGGGTTAGTTTGTTCCATGTAGGTGTACAGATTGTATTTCTGCTTGGGGATGCCAAGGATACTTCATAGATTCAAAAACTTAAAAGTTATGATAGCAAAGAAGATGACATTATGGAAAACTTAGTTTCCAGTTCTTAATGAGATTTATTTCACTTTGGCCTGTGGTGACAAGCTCTGCCACTAGCTCCTCAAATAACAGTGAAAATGAAGATATGGGCATATAACTGAATTACTTGCCGGTCAGTTGCATACCCATCAGTAGTTGCTCTTTCTGAGGTGAGCATGGATGCTTTGCACCTCAGGGCAGGGACCAGAGCCACCTGCACCTGAGAACACCAGCAGGGCAGCTTGCTACCTGCCTGCCCTTACTGCAGCGCATGCTAGCTGGGCTCAGCCCTGGTTGCTCCATAGCTGAGCAGTGGTGGGACTGAGGAGTTTGATTGTTTTCATTGTTGAGATAAAGACAGCTCTTTCAGTCCTGACAGCATCTGAAGAGTAGGCTTTCCTATAGAGGTCAAGCATCAAAATCTTATGGAACTGTAAAAATCTTGCTATTTTAAAATGGAAATAGATTTTTATGGAATGAATGTCTGTAATAGTAAAACAAAGCTTTAATTGGTCTGTTTTCCAGCTAAAGATGTTATGTATATCTGTCCATTTATGGGAGCAGTCAGTGGTACACTAACAGTGACGGACTTCAGAATGTATATCAAAAGTGTTGAGAGGGTAAGACTTCACTATTTATCTGCGTATTGTTTCAAGTAGGATTTGTTGTTGAAGTAGATTTCAGAAAATGACAAATTTGGTGTAAGCGAAATATGATGTTCCACAGCAGCCTATTAAACAGGAATTATAGTTGACTCTAATGAAACATACATTAATAGTATTAGTTTGCGTTCCTCCTAATGTAACAAAATTCATTTGTTTTATGTACAAATTTCAGGATCCACCTTTTGTTGTTGATGTTCCCCTTGGTGTCATAAGTAGAGTTGAAAAAATTGGAGTACAGAGCCATGGAGACAACTCATGTGGTATAGAAATAGTTTGCAAGGTATGGCATGGTAGAGATTTATCCATATTAAAGTGTGTTCATTTCCTTTTTCTTTAAAAGGAATCTGCATGCATATGTGCTGTTTGTCTGTTTGATCGGTTCCCTGTATTTGAACCTTCATTTAGATAATATATTTCAATTCCTCTTATGATAGTTGCAGTCTTAAGCACTTCTGCCTTTTGTCCCAACAGTGAATTCAAAGGAAAAATGGCTATTTTTATGTTACGTAGCAACTCCAGTGATGATCCTAGTCATCTGATACAAACACTTGCAGAACTCTGTTCTAATGTGGGTTAGATGATGTCAGTGACTTAGTGCTACATATATGCCTTCCTTCAATCACATTTCTTGTAACTGTTTTTTATTTTTAATTTCTCATAGAGTAAAATAGTGTAACTTGTTTTTTGACAGGATATGAGAAATTTGCGGCTGGCTTATAAACAGGAAGAGCAGAACAGATTGGAGATTTTTGAAAACCTTGTAACTCGTGCGTTTCCTGTTTCAAATGGGCTGGTAAGTCTTAAGATGTAGAGAAGGCTGTCACTGGCTCGCCTCTTTTTGGAAAGTGTAGACGGGGGAATACAAGGGCTGTATAACAAACATTGAAATGTTGATTCATAAAATTTGTAACAGAGCAGGCAAGCTACTCTGACCCTGTTTCCTTTTTGCATTAATCTGTAAAATGTTATGCTATGTCCCACTATTGGTGAAGTTAGTGAATTTGTACATAACACTCGAGATCTAGATTTGCATAATGTTGCCGCTTAAAAATATGCATGTATTGACTCTTATTTTCTGCAGTAGATAATTCAGTCTAAAAGTTCTGCCTAAAACAAGAAATAGGTACAATTAGTCATAGTTAACTGCAGAATGCTATGTTATTTGCTTGTATGGGTAAGGAACTGATTGGGAGGTAGGAGACCAATTTTCTCACCCTGGCTTTGCCATCGATGTGGTGTACGATCCCAGGCAAGTAATTCCAACTCTCTCTGACTGTTTCCTATCTTGATTTTCTTAATTGCATAGCATGTACTTGAAGGAGGAAACTCTAATTTTCTTTCTAGCACAGTGTTGTCTGGTCTTGACTGGAGGTTTTATGTCTGCTGTTAAAAAGTTTTAGAAGTGTTACATTTGAAATAGTATAAGATTTACTGTTTTGGAGCTTATTGTGCATACAGCCCATCATACAGTAATGTATGCCTTTGCTTTGTTTTCTTTAGCCTCTTTTTGCATTCAGCTATAAAGAAAAGTTTGCTGTTAATGGCTGGAAAGTATATGATCCAATGGCAGAGTATAAGAGGCAGGTAAGTTATATAAATTGGTGTATTATTTTTTTCTGCTTCCATCTTCCCCAGAGCCATTTAAACCAGAAAAAATATTAAAGAAAACTCTGACTTTTCAGTTCTAGCTACATACAGAAACTATCTGGATCTCATGTTTAGATAATAAATGCAAGTGGCCTGACTTTAAGAGTGCTGAGTGTCTGCTAAATTTGGTGGAGATAACAGATGCTGAGTACTTGAGCAAATTGGCCTATCTTAAGGTGTATTCTTAAATCTACATTTTCCAAGTATGGTTTCTAGAAAATATGGGCTTTATAAAAATTTGGATTTGAATAAGTATCATTAGATAGAAGAGTAACTGTAGTTTGTCATTGTAAATCAACAGTTTCCTAGTTGCAAAAGTGTTTTTATTTCACTATATGATCACTTTTCACCTGAGTGTGCAGTCTGTTCAAATGGTTATATGATAATATATATATTTGGTTTATATGAAGACCTAAAGTTTATAGCGTATTTAAAGGATTTTTTTTTTTTAAGTACATAGCATATAAAAAATTTTAATCGCCCCAAACTCAGGTATGCAAAACTCTAACCTGAAAAATACATACATGTTTTGCCTTTCATACAGGGCTTGCCCAATGAGAGCTGGAAAATATCTAAAATTAACAGCACCTATGAGCTTTGTGATACATATCCTGCTATTCTTGTTGTGCCAACCAGTGTGAAGGATGATGACCTCTCAAAAGTGGCAGCGTTTAGAGCGAAAGGCAGAGTTCCAGTAAGTGAAACTTTTGCAAGGAGATAGATGTGCTCTACAAATTGGTAGCTTATAGGAAATTATCAGTGTTCTTTTAGGCTTTTTTTTTTTTTAATTATTTTTTTTTTTAGTAACAGTGGGCTGGCTTCCTTCCTGAAGGGGAGTTAGGGAGGGGGTGGGTGGGCAAAGAAGAATTAGGCTTCATGGGTTTAGAACTGAAGAGAGCAATTCACACGTGAGTCTAATTGCTTGGTTATTGTGCCCTGTAGTAAATTTTTGTTTAGAGCCACAATGGTATCTGATGCTAATTCACACATTAGTATGTGTTCTGATTTGGTGTGGAATGTTTTACAGCCATAGCAGTTTTCTTGACAATAGACAAGTTTTGCAGGTAGCATAAGAACCCCTTTAAATATTTTAGATGGTGGCAGTTCTCGTGCTGTAGATCTGCTTGGTGGGGTAGTGTACAGGTCCATAGACTTCCACATGGAAGCAGTTTTTCTTCCTCCTCTGCTCTTTTTTTTCCTAACTGGTAAGATGCAGCATCTCATTAGAAATAAAAGCTAGCATGTTTAGAATCACTGTGTATTTCAAGCTCAGTTTTGGGATGAGCAATGCTAGTGTGCTGTCAGTATGGTTTTGCATCAGCTTGTCCTTAACCTTGCATTTGTTGATTTGCCGGGAAATAATGCCATGTAGGCAGTGTGGCTGCCTAATTGCCCTCTGGCCCGCTGCCTTTATAGTAGTATAATAAACATATAATTTTATTTTATTCCAGGTGTTGTCCTGGATTCATCCTGAGAGCCAAGCAACAATAACACGATGCAGTCAGCCTTCAGTAGGCCCCAATGATAAGCGTTGCAAAGAAGATGAAAAATATTTGCAGACAATAATGGATGCCAACGCTCAGTCACATAAACTTATCATCTTTGATGCCAGACAGAATAGTGTTGCAGATACAAACAAGGTAGGTTGGTATCGTAACTAGCATTAGTGGTTCTATCTTTGTTACAGGGCTGAAGATTGATTAAGAGGTGAGGATGAGGAGAATGTGATGTTTAAAAGAGATAAAAAAGGGTCTCTAAAGAGGGTGCGGGAAGGAAGGTTAAGTTGCTTGTAGCATTTTGGAAAGCCTGCCAGGAATTGAAGGCAGCGTGAAAACATACTTTAGAAATGATGCAGTAAAGCCCACAGAAGACCAAAAGGTTTGGGTAGTAAAAAGGGGAAGGTATATGGATGTATTATCAGATCTAGCCTATTACAGTTAGAATTTCTTTCACCTAAAAAAAGTACCCCTGGTGCTTCCTAGAAAAACAAAAGCCAAAACTATGTTTTTATTAGTGCTAAAATAATCATTTTTCTCAGAAAAAACTGAAACCTGACCAAAATAACTCTCTCAACCTTACTGAAGTCCTGTATATGTTCTTTTCTTTGTCTGTTTTTACTTTTTGAATGACAGGCCAAAGGTGGAGGATATGAAAGTGAAAGTGCCTACCCAAATGCAGAACTGGTCTTTCTGGAAATTCATAATATACACGTAATGAGAGAATCCCTACGTAAACTTAAAGAAATAGTTTATCCTACTATTGATGAAACTCGGTGGTTATCGAATGTGGACTCCACACACTGGCTGGAATATATAAGGGTAAAATACTTTTGATGTGAAATATCAATTGTTTTTATAAACCATGTTTTTAACCTGCATTTCTGAAAATATTACTAAAATAATGTCTAGATTTAAGCACGTTGCTTTGATCAGGATAGTCTTATAAAAAAACTTAATTTTTAATCCGTCACTTGGAATGCTTAAAATGCTATGTTCTATAATAACTTTTTATTTCCAGTTTTATGTATTGGTGGGTAATGAGTTAATTCCTGATAGCACAGTATCGTATTTAGTGTTGGACAATGTTTGATTTTCTTGAGAGGGAATGTTTGTGAGCAGTCCAGGGTTATCCCTGCTTTTTGGAAGAATGCCCTGGGAACTTGAGATTATATTTGAACAACTGCCAAAAGGACTTGACTGTAAATTCTGCAGTCTTTCTCATCCTTCCCTCCTTCGGCGCAGTGTTAGTGTTCATGTGTTGGGCACCTACATTTTCATGGGCTGTTTATAGTCAGTGCTCTACTGGGTTATAATCTGTTCTATTATTTAACATAATATTAAAATAAATCACTACCATACTCAGTTTTACAGTCCGTTTCACTAACCTCTGAAATGCTTTTAGAATAGATTATTTCATTACCACATTCACTCCCCTGTTTATGATGAATATGGATGGAGTGGAATTTGTTTTATTAGCAGCTGGCTCAAATGTCACTCATGCAAAACATATTTGGGATTGTTCATTAGTTTTACTCTTCTATTAACTAGTGCTTGCTAACTGCTGCAGGAGAACCAGTAGAGGGAGCAAACAATTTAAGAATTAAACAAATGTAATGATCTTTTGGGAATAGTTTCATTTTCTTGTTCTCTTGTTGGACTATTTCAAACAGCTTTGAGAATCTGAGTAACTGGAAACCTTTTCTTACCAGCCTGGCCTTAGATAACAATACTCCCTTAAAAGTGGAGTTGTTTGGGCCAGTGGCAACTTTTTGTTGGCGCAGACTTCAGTGGGGTTCCTGGGCTTGGGAGGTGTCACAAGTGGACCTTGATGCCGCCATTGCACAGATGACAACAGCATAGCAATTTGAAATTTCATTTAAATTATTTTAAAGAGTTGACACACATGTAACATTCTTCATGAATCTGTCCCTTATGTGAGTCTTCACGTTATGATATTGACAGCACAAACTGCAGCCTGATTTCTTATCAGCTGCCGTTACTGTGTTAACAGCATTGATAGTATCTCCCTGTGCTTTTATCCAAGAGTGGCTTACCTTCCTTGCCTGTTTGATTTGGCTTGTTATAGCAATTAACAAATCCACACCTTTACTCTAATGTATCTTCTGTTTTCTGGGCTCAGACCTGTGGGATTGTACCCCAGTTTAATGTGATGCATTACTGGAAATTCACCTTCCTAGCACTGAGCACCCACAGCACTTTGGAGATGGTCCAGGAGTGTCTGGGGAGGCACCAGTAATGTTCTGTGTGTGTGAAGACAGTAGTAACAACAGGAGTAGAGTCACTTGGTGCTTTTTGCACACCCATGATGTTTCATGTGCCCTCCAGGGTATTTTCTGTCTCTCAGGGTAGAACTTGTACTATTAATTATTTTTAAACCCATTCTCATTTTCTAAACCAGTCCAAGGCCAGTTATTCGTTAGGAGCCCTAACTGAAATACTGCGATGGTAGCTAAGTTTTGAAGCATCTATAAAGAATAATGACAGTTTGTGGAGGAAGCTGTTTTCTAAAGGCTTTTGTCCAAAGTAAAATAAAATGCTTCAGCTACTCCACAGATACTTACTGAATTAATAGTAACTCTGTTTTCTGTCTCCCGTTCTCTGCCTAGTGCCTGTATCTGTTCTGTCCTTTTAGTTTTGGCTGTGTTCCTTCAGAAACATCTGTGTTCTCTTTAGGACAATTTAGAGCAAGCTATCACATACCTGTATGTTATATAGTTTATAGTATATATAGTTTCCTGCTCTTATTGAAGACCAAACTGTTTTAATATTTGCACTTTTTTAGTGCAGTAGAGCTTTGTAACTGAAGTAATTGGCAATTAACTAGTTCAGACCACAAGCTCTATTCTCCCTTAGAAGCTTTTGTGTAGTTTCCTGATATTTCCATCCTGTCATTCTTCAGTTTTGCCATAAAAGATACAATCAATGAAAATGGTCTCTAAAGCATGGTTCTTGAAATAGCTTTGAAGACTGGTTGTGTGCACAGCTTTTCCAGTGGATGCTGGCTTTCCTGCTTCCCAGAAGATGTTTTTACATGCCTGGGAGGGAGAAAATGCAAGTATTTTGCAAGATTCCATTTTCTGATGTTGGAATGCAGAATAGGAATTTCTCCGGTGGCCCTGTTCTAGTGGTGGGGTTTTTTCACATATTTTTCAGTGCCATGGTAGGTCATGTTACAGAGGCAAATCTTCACAGGAGAGAAAATATTCAAGTTTTTTAAAAACTACAGAGCAGCATAAGAGAACAAGAGAGTGTTTTTTTGTGGGATAGAACAACACCAAGTTCACTCGGGTGATCTCAGTCCTATGCCATGTCCGTCCTTTGCTCTCCAGCATGCTCCCGAATCCGTGCTATTAATGCTCTGCTCATGGCTTCAATACAAGGTGTACTTCATGCACCAACAAATGGGCACAGGCTCCCAGCCAGGGGTTTCTGGGTTTGTTTGAGTTGTGTTTTTATTTAGATTATCTGGGTAGTTTGTCCCTTTATCTAAATTTAGTAGTTGAGAGCTAAAAGCTGAGGAAAAAAAGAGTAATTGATTACTGTAAAAATGAATTTTGAAAACATTGAACCTTCAGCCTTTGTAATAGATTACAGAATTTGTGTCTTTTCATCATGATGCAGAAGTTCAGATTAGATTTATAGAAGGGATTCCCACGTTCTTTTGCTATGTTCTACTAATAAAGGAGAGCTGGTAAGAACTCTCTCTTGGATGACAGAGTGCACACAGTTTTTGTACCTGTAGCAATATGCATACCACCATTTGAAGATATTTAATTTCAAGCAATGTTGTGCAGATGATTATGTAGTTAATCTGAAATTTTAAAATATATTAATCTTAATAGCGTAAAATTAGAACTCTTTCTTTTTGGTAGTTTTGGTTAGTATTTAATATACTTATTTATTTTTGTTTATTTAAGATGCTTCTTGCAGGAGCAGTGAGAATTGCAGATAAAATTGAATCTGGTAAAACATCAGTAGTGGTACATTGCAGTGATGGTTGGGATCGAACTGCACAGCTTACTGCGCTAGCTATGCTTATGCTGGACAGCTATTACAGAACTATCAAGGGGTTTGAAGTTCTTATAGAGAAAGAATGGATAAGTTTTGGACACCGATTTGCAATGGTAAGCTGAAAGATTTGGTGTGAAGTTTCTTACCTTCAAGGCTTTTATTTTGAGTAGCATGTTTTCTCACAGTACTCTGCTGCGTTTTGGCGATTATCTCTGGTCTTGTTCTTTTAATGGTGTGTGTCAGAGAATTGTGACCTGTTCCTTTTTAACAGGAAATCTGTGTTTGAGGTATAATATAAAGTTAAGAGGAATTAAGTGGCTTGAACAAAATTGCTGGAACCATTACTCTGATTTAAGGTTGAAATGTTTATTTAAGACATGGGCTAGTGGGGAATTAGGACATAGATTATTATGACATTTTGTGGGCTCTGACTCTAAGATGGTTTAGGTGAAATGACATGTTATGGCAGGTGGATATGGAATAATCTTTATTTCAGTACAGTCTTAGTAAATAACTACTAGTTTGACTGACTGGTAGAAGTAAATAGCTGTGCAATGAAAGATGGCGAAGCAACTGTCGCAGCTTTGTTGACCAAGTGTCTTTGCAGCTCTGCTCAACAGCAAAGGCATGTCCGTAAGTGAATGCTGGAATGCGTTTTTAGTAGTTGGAAAATACAGGCTAGCATTATGGAAGATTTGCTTATCTTGTTCGCCACTGGAACATATTTAAGAGTTACTCATCTTTAAAGTGTTAGGATGGTACTGTAAATACACTAGACTGAAATGAAAAGTTTGTTTTGACTTTCAGCGAGTAGGACATGGAGATGATGATCATGCTGATGCAGACAGATCTCCCATTTTCCTTCAGTTCATCGACTGTGTTTGGCAAATGACAAAGCAGGTAAGATGCTTAAGAGTTATTTCTGTGAGGTCTCAGTCTTTATCTTGGAAACGTAATTCATGTAGGAGAACACGTACCTTTGAAAAACAGTAGCATAGTTTCCTGAAGTTGGTCGTTCTGTGGCTGCATTGTGCACACAGGGAAACTTTTTGCTCACATTGAAGTACAAGGAGCTAGAGTAGAGGTATTGACTTAAAACCAAAACACCAGGAATGCTTTTGTTTAAAATAAGCTTTCAAAGGATTCTCTGATTACATGAATGAGAGTTATTGATGAGATAAATTATTTGCATTGCATATTCACTGGTGGAGTAAATGTTCATATGGATTTATATTGTCCTTAAGAAACAGCAGAAATTCAGGCTGATTGTGAACTGAGGGGAGGAGTTCTTCTATGTATGTCTCAAGTGTGAAATGTAAGTTAATGTTGGCATCATTATGCATACAAGACAGCATTTCTAACATACAAGCCTATTGTCAGATAAGTTTTCTTACTTCCAACACTATTTTACCTCTGATTCAGGGGAAATCTTTGAAATTAGTGATATTTAAGATATCAAAGTATTAAAATTATAATTTTTTTTCTGAATGTGTTAAATTAGAGAATGGCTTTAGCCCTCATTTTCCTTATTTGTACCTCCATGAGCATAAACTTAAGATTTTTCTGAGCTTTTATATTGCTGTTCTTTAATGGAGTTAGTGAAATAGATTGTCCACATGAAGGCTTTATTTCCAAGTAAATTAGAAGTGCTTGGCTCCTTTTTTTCTTTTTTTTTTTTTTTCCTCTTCTTTTTTTTCCTCCTTTAAGCCTAACTTAGATCTGGTGTCTTATGGTAAAAGCTGTTATACTGAATGAAGTCTGTATAGTATGTGATCTGTTTTGAAGAGAGGAGGGTAACAGTCTGGTTCCATGTGATGCTAGCACTCCCAGATCTCTTACCTTAAGTCTTCCTGTTCTGAACACAGTTCTTAAAAATTTACATCATAGTTTCCAAAACCTGTATTCGAAACAGTCATCTTCAGTGCTTTATGAAAGTTCCCTGCTGTAATACTGGGCCCTTGTCCAGAGTCCCTTGAAGACTTTCTCTTTCTGTGTATCTGTATTTCAGCATTAATGTGCTGTTTAGTATGGCTAGAGAAATGAAATGAAAAATTCTGCTCCTCTCTCAGAGGAAAGCTAATAACAATAGCAAGGAGAAGCAGTTCTAAACACCTGGTAGGAACAAAAGTCCTCTGGGGAGATCCTTAATTGAGAGCAGCCTCTTCTATTTTTGTGATCAAAATTGCTGCCTCCTGTTTCTTGCTATAAACAGTTTAGTTTCCTCTAGTTTAAAAAAAAAAAAAAAAAAGAGGATGGGGGGGAGGGGGAAATCTGTGAAACATTTTGCCAGTACCACATCTGTTCAAAACCTGGATCCAGAAACTGTTCTGAAATTCATGAACAGCAGTGGCATTGAAAAATCATTAATGTTACAGCAGGAAAAAAATTGGAAACATCATTCTTGGAGAGTTCCTGCACACTTATTTTTTAGTTGACTTCAACACCTAGAGAACAGATGTGAAGATTGTGATTACCTTGACATGGACCTGTGAAAGCCAGGATTCTGTTTTATCCTTGTGTACATCTCTTGCTCATAAAACAGTGCTAGTTTCATGCTTTAGAATCCGTGGTAAACATAGGTGAAGTGTTCCAAAGCTCAAATAAGTGTAAGGGCTCAGGTTTGGGCATGGGCTCAAAGCAAGCAAATTTTCTCTTTCAGGTGCTGAGAATTACATTCTTAAAACAGTGAGAGAATCTCTAACTTCCCACTAAGATACAAATCTCCAGACAGCTTCAGACAATGAAACTTAATCCTTGGCAGCCTTATGTTTTCCTTTCATTTTTACAGTCTTCATGACACACAAATACAGTAACAGAGAACTCGAGAGAAGTACATTGATATCAGATTTTAATAAAAAAAACATATGGTGAAGTGATTTCCCGCCTCTGTTAGTAAATTCTAGTGATTTTGAATAGCAGATGTCAAATTGGAAGGGCCACGTGTGATCGGATGAATTACTGATGCCCTGTTAAAAATGAAACAAAACCATAAAATTTGCATGTAGTGTTGCAGCTCAGCCAGCAGCTTTCTACCTTTCATGCACAGTACCCTCACAGGAGGAAGATACATTTAAAGTTGGTAGAAAGTTGCATCCTGTTTGTTACCAGATGTCATCTGTTGCCAGAGATGCATTTTTCACTAGGTTCAGCGGTGTACTCTGTTAGGATATCTGGTGTTCAGTTAACCTGATTCAGTCCAGTTCCACAATCACAAGAACAGTTCTGCAAAGTGCTTCAACTTTAAATGTTACTGTAGTACAGAGTGAGTTCATTGAGTTAAAAGCAAGTTTATTTTGCGTATCTCTAATCAGACGCCACTTGGCATCATCAGACTTTTAGAGAAGAAATCTTCTTTTAAATCTCTCCTTTACAAACTCCAGCAGCATTAAGTGGGAGATTTTAATGACCCATGTGTTCTCTCACAATTAGTGGATTTGACAAGAAGTAAATTTTCGTTTGGGGAATTTTTCCACCTGAATCTTCAAACAAACGCTAATGGGCTTGGAACTACAGAGGAAAGCATTTTTAGGTCAGTGATTTTTCAGCAGCAGTAATAGAAGATTTACAGTCTTTATACATCAACTCCAACAGTACAACTCTTGTATCCAAAGACAGGGTTTCAATAAAGTGCTATCACTTATTAATAGATCAGTTGGAGTGCAACCACTGATGTATGGAATTTTGAATATGCTTCGCTGGATTGGAATAGCGGCCATGTCAGCATCCATCTGATTAGTATGGACCCGTCACAACACAGAACCCTAATGTGACAAGGCTCATTAAGTGCTTTCAGTTAAAGAGAGTCCCTTTAGGAGAGGCTTTGTCTTCAAAGTTATTTCCAAATATCATTTTGATGCTTTGCAAATTATTTTTGCTCTCTGTATCTGATTGCTGCTTAGGGCTGGACACAAGAGACTGAGGTCTGAGACCCACTGAATTTTCTCCTGCCTTGGTTCAGCACACCCGCTTATCAAGTTCTGTTCATACTTTTTAAATCATAGCTGTGTTGTTAAGATCATTATATTGTAATTGAGTTTTGACGTGATTTCCTAGAGAGAAGGAAGTGCTGTAAGGGGTAACTTTTGAACATGACTGAAAAAGAGAATTTGATAATCTTAAGGTCCTGCATGTTTTATGGAAACAAATGGCTAGGTGATTGAAAACAAAGCAGTGATTTGAGAGAGAAGCCCCAGTGTGAGCACGCTGTGCTGTTGAACAGTGCGTAATCCGTAGCAGAGTCAGAAGGAAGGCTCCCATTCATTTAGTGAGCCATGATGTTGACAATTTCCTTACTCAAAATTTTCAGATGGAAGTTGGGAGTATTTTAGCTTGAGAGGCCTTTGAAAGAGAATGTTTTTGCAATGTTTGACTTAAATCAATCTTCTTTTAAAAGAACATTGTTTAAAACTTAGATCTTTCTAGATTTAATACAAGCACACCCATTGTACATTATTCAACTCTTTACTTTCAACGTGAATAAACATTTGCCCTTCATAAATCACAGATGACACTGAAGAGGAATTTCTGGATCAGCTAGTTCATCTGCAGTCCCAATTGCTGTGTTATTCCTCCTAGCTATACTTGTAATCTTCTTTTTTTATTTAAAGTAGTTCTTGAGTCACTCATGCCAAGGTGTTCAGTGTTCTTCAGTGGCACATAACAGGAACCAGTCTGCTGCTTTCTTCAGATCTGAAATACTGACTTCAGATTTCACCATATAGCAGGAAATTCTTCCTTATGAATCTGTGACATTGCATCTTAGACTTCTCTAAATATTTACTCCTTCAGTGGGAATGAACAAAAATTGTTTCATTTGTCCTGAATGTTAGTCTCTTATAACATTCTCATTCATGGTAACGAGAGAATGGCTGCTTCTTAAATTTTGCTTTAGTCTTCTAATATGTTCTTTTCTCCTAAATGTTTATCATTCCATATCTGTGTTTGAGGAGACCCTTGTCATACTGAACACAAAGTTATTTTGACACATCAAGCAGTTGCCATATGTAGTCCTATCATAAAATTTGATTGAAGAAAGACCCTTTCCATCTGAATAGGTAGCAGCACATGCATTTTGCATTAATTTCTTCGTTTATGATTTTTAGAGCACTAGAGATTAAGATATATCTTAAACAGTGTGAGTGTTTTAAAAGTTCTAACTCTTTTCCTAGAATGTCTCAAGTAACCTCTGCTTATGAATAAAATACCTAGTGGTGCTCAATGGAATAACAGTTCTTTGAGATGTACAGGTTTTGCTTTCCAGGATAAAAGAAGAGGGATTAAAAGCTTGTTGTACATAGCTGATGGTAAACTCAAGGGGTGAAATGGAGAAAAGTAACTTACTTGGGTAGAAAGAAACATTTTAAATATATGTTAAGCACATTGTACATGCAGTAGTACTTATTATCCAATTCATTGCATTTTAGAATAGGAAATAAAACTCTTAAATGTCATAATCTTTTTTTTTTTTCCAAAAATGATTTATTGTCCTGTAAGAAGAGAAATAAGGCATATGTCGAAGACAGTTTGGGGTGGGTTAGAATACAATACTGTTAGAGCTCCTTAGAATGGATTTCTTTGTGTCACCAGTGTCACATTAGCTAATGTTTCTATGTTTGTATTCTAGTATACTTGCATAATGAATTTATGGTTTGTTTCCTAGGAGTATTTATAAAGAAGTATGTAGGGGAAAGGTATTATTGCAATGGGAGTTACTGAAATTGCTGAGTTTTCCTGAAAATAATCAGTAAATAAGAAAAAAAAAATCTTATCTGAATATTTTGGTTATTTCTTGTGTCTGAGTTTCTTCCTTTCTATGCTGCTTAAAATAAAGTTTGAAGTAATTTTACAAACTTTTTAAATTTCAGTTTCCTGCAGCCTTTGAATTCAACGAGTTATTTCTGATCACCATTCTGGATCACCTTTACAGTTGTCTCTTTGGGACTTTCTTATGCAACTGTGAAAAAGAAAAATTAAAAGAGGTAAATACTTAGTCTAGTACACATTTGTAATTTGTTGATTTTATATGAAGATGCTTGGAATACAAGACCTAAGAATATCTGAGCTGTGTTTTTGGATACATTTGTCACACAGTCTGAAAAGACAACATGGACGTGAAATTTACTGGTATGAGAAATACATAAGGAATGTCCTGCTATTATATGAGGTGTCACTTGTTTTTCTTCAGTTATTATCTGTTCAGGGACTTGAGGGTTTTAGAAGGTCCTCTTTCAGATATTTCTAGGCAACATATACAATTTTAAATAATTATTATCAAATTATATTAACATTTCTTTCACTATTTCCAAAGGCACTCCCATAGATGATTTTTCATGTCACTTTAGGACATAATTAGATGAAACTTATGGTTGAAAACTAGGAAAATTTAGAATGTCTAAATGAATGAAGTTAGGACTCAATGAAATACTTTGAATTTGGAGAAAAAAAAATAAAAGTTTGTTAATATCCCAAGTACACTTTCGCTTACTTTTGGCTTTATTGGTTTTTATACTTTATAATTTTTAAAACACGTAACAATTCCTTGCCATATTTAGCTTTGCTATGTTTTTTGTTTGTCTCTACTGCTTCTGTTGGGAAAAAGTTGCATGTAAATACCACAAGATGGAGCTGAATAACGTGTTCTCAGAAATGCAGTGTGTCCAGACGGCTTTCATAAATGAATAGTCAGATGCAATTCTCAATAAAGAAATGCAATTTAAGACACAGCGGTAGTAGAAACACATGCTTTACAACACTGAAGGACTGTAAAATTGCAAGATGAATCTGATGTAAGTTCAGATTTCCAATCTTTGATCTAACCATGATTATGCTGATTACATTTAGAATAATACAACTTTCAGAAGTGCAAATAAAGATAAAACAGGCATTTTAAAGCACAATATCAATTGATAGGAGAATATAGTGTGAGTGGGAGAACTGAATAATTATTTTTCACAGATGCTGTTTTGGATCTTCCGAACTACATCTCTCTTCACTGATTTTCTTGTCAGAGCTAATTTAATTTTACTTTTTTTTGGTTGGTCAGTGTGTTAACAATATATTTAAGTAGCTGTAAACATTGCTGTAAATTACAAGCGGTACAGCTTTCTTTTGCTCAACTAGACCTTTGTGTCTCTGAAAATAATATGCCTGAATCTCCTTTCTCAGTTAGCCCTGGACCAGAATAAATGTTCAAATGTTTTGCTGAAGTTTTAAGGCTGTTTAATGATCAGCTACTGGAAGTATTCTCAGAGTGCTTGCAATTTTCTAGTAGATAAGGTAAATTTCACAGACAAAATTACTGATATGTAGATATTAACCTCATATTTTAAGGCTTTGCAGTCCATTTAAATTTTTTTTTCTCCTATCAGGAGGTAAGCACAAAGACTATATCGCTATGGTCCTATATAAACAGCCAGTTAGATGAGTTCACAAATCCTTTCTACGTAAACTATGAAAACCACGTCCTCTATCCTGTTGCCAGTCTGAACCATTTGGAACTATGGGTGAACTACTACGTCAGATGGAACCCAAGGATGCGGCCCCAGGTATGAGCTTTCACCTGTCTTTTATGTTTTATTGAAGAGCACAGAGATTAAAAGAAAATTCAGCATTTAATTTCAAAAGTGTTCATCTGGTTGCACATATAGGATAAGGAAAAAGGTGATTTTCTTGAAGAAGATGCGGGATGTGTTCAAACTTGGTAAAATGATGTTTTCATTAAAGTCACCAGTAGAATAGGGAGTTACAGTATCACTTTATTGGCTTGTGAAAGATAACAGATTAACAGTCTTTGTTATTGGTAGATTACTTTTATAACACTTCTGTAATACTTTGTAATACTTTTTAATCCTTTTATTGTCTTAACCTTGAATAGGGAGTTACAGTATCACTTTATTGGCTTGTGAAAGATAACAGATTAACAGTCTTTGTTATTGGAAGATTACTTTTATAACACTTTTATTGCCTTAACCTTCTTGCAGAGTTTAGTGTACCTTTGTTTTTAATTATGTTTTGCCCTTTATAAACAGTGATATAAAATATAGCAGCAGTTTCTGAAAGAATTGGACTATGTACTGACTCATTTTGTAGGCTCTCTAAACTTAGCATCACATAGATGCTTGTTTTCAATTGACCTTTATGATTTCAAGCCAGCATACATGCTCTTTGATTCATCTGGTGTTTGTTCTTCTAAGTAATGTCTGCTATTCAGAAAAATCTCTAAATCTTGTCAGACGAATACTCCATATGCTCTCATGCTTAGAAGTCCAAAGAAAGAACATTCAGTTTGTGTCACAACCATAATATATCTGAGGGTGCTGCACCATCTCTTTATTAAGGTAACATTCCAAGGTATCCCCAAGCATATTATGATGAATTACCTGTATTAAATGACTGCTCGAAAGCTGCTTTCATCTTCTAGCAGTTAGAATGAGACATGAGTTTCAGATTTATTAGACACTCACAAGTCAGAGGCTGTTGTAAAAGATGGTGTTCCAAGGTAGATTTCAAGGACAGTGCACTGGTAGAAGTCCAGGAATCTGAGAAATACCTTTTAAGGTCTTGGAAAAGCCTGGCTTGCTTGCTTCCTTGCTGAGATGTTTCCTTGGAGCTGCTTTGTTTCCCTTACTTGTTCTATTTTGGTCAATATAGTCCTATGACTGTTAAGTACCTGTTAGGTGTTAACATGTGTTAAAACTTGGAAGATGATGTATTTTAATCTTTATGGTTTTAAAGTAAAATTGACAACTGCTTTTTAGCAAAATATCATCTTCCCGTTAGCCTATTTACTGAAAAACATTTGCGTGGTTTATGCACGTTTTAGTATAATGGACTGGCAGCAGCATCAGTTTATGACTTGTATTTAATTGAGATCTATAGGCCCTGAAAGCAAGCAGGCTTTGTAGACACACCTGAAAGCTAGTCCCAGTCCAACAGAGATGAGGATGGGGAAGAGATGACATAATTAGAGAATATCAGAACTGTCATATACTTGGTGGCAGGCTCTGCTCACCGCCTCTGATGGAGAGCGCTCTGCCCACTCCTGTTGGAGAGCACTCTGCTGGCGCTGTAGCACGTGTGAATCACTGATCTGCCTTGGTCTTGGAGAAAGGTCCCTCAGATCAGCAGATTGAAGGTAACAAAATGTGATGACCCTGGTAACTGCCTTAACTTTACTACCATCTTCTTTTCTTGAAAAACTAATATAACTGTTCTGAACTTTAGATCTACCACATTAGCTTTGTCTTGTGAAGATACATCATGCCTTTCCTCTTGTCCCTGGCCTGAATTTATGTGATATTTGTGACAAATATTCAGAAGTGTTTCACATCTACTTGAATACATTTGCTGCAGAAATTACAGGTTTTTGTTGCAGAATTTGTTCTCCAGTCTAATTATGAAAGCACAAACTCACGCAAACAAATAAATAACAGTCTTTGTAATCACAATATACCAAGTTTGCTTTCTTCTGTATTTGCATTGTCTAGTTTCACACCCTGTTAGCCGATACAGTAACATTCAGACCCGTTCAGTAACAGCAAAAAAGACAATCACCGTTGTGATGCCCAGCAGGGCTTCGTTTCTCTTCACTGAAAAGATTTCTTAAACAATCAGTGAATTTATTAAAAGAACAGGTGTCTCTGCCTACTGAGAAAAGGCGTTTTTGTTGAATAACTTTTAAGATGGTTCTTCTGTTTTTCAACTGGAATAAGAGAAAGTTAGATATTTAATGTTAATAAAGAGCTCTCTGATGAATAGCAATTCAAGGCAACCTCACATACTCTTTCATTAGCTGCAAAAACTTCTTTAAGAAACTGGAAAATGTTTTCTAGGAGCTCACTGAAAAGGAGAAATGCCTAATTACTTGAGTTTAAGGGAAGATGAAGAACAGTCCTTTAATATAATCAGAACGGATGTTTGATACCCATTATCAACCATCTTTGTATTATGGTAGAGGAAACTCACAAGAGCAAAAGGGCAGTTTTTAGTTTGAGGCAATTATTTTAGGTTTTGTAATTTCAGCTTTATTAGTGAGTGAGGCTTGAATTTTTAAATGGACTGAAGAGAAGTTAATCATTGCACTTCATTGACTTTTCTATTGGAAATGAGCATACATCAAGCAAGAAAGGAAGCAAGGGCAGGTAGCGTGGGAGGAATACAAAGAAATTGTCTGAGCAGCCAGGGATCAGGTTAGGAAAGCGAAAGCCCTGATAGAATTAAATCTGGACAGGGATGTCAAGGGCAACAAGAAAAGCTTCTGTAGGTACATTGGTGATAAAAGGAAGATTAGGGAAATATGGACCCTCTCCGAACTGGAGACTTGGTTACCTGGGATATGGAGAAGGCTGAGGGACTCAACAATTTTTTTGTCTCAGCCTTCACCAGCACATGCTTAAGCCACACTGCCCATGTTGCAGAAGGCAAAGGCAGTGACTGGGAGAATGAAGAACTCCCCACTGCAGGAGAAGATCAAGTTTGAGACCATCTGAGGAATCTGAAGGTGCACAAGTCCGTGAGACCTCGTGCCATGTGTCCACGCATGGGTCCTGAGGGAACTGGCAGATGAAGTTGCTACGCCTCTATCCATCATATTTGAGGAGGTGTGGCAGTCTGGTGAAGGTCCCACTGACTGGAAAAGGGGAAACATAACCCCCATTTTTAAAAAGGGAAAAAAGGAAGACCCAGGGAACTACAGACTGGTCAGTCTCGCCTCTGTGCCTGCCAAGATCATGGCACAGATCCTCCTGGAAACTACGCTAAGGCACGTGGAAAATAAGGAGGTGACTGGTGACAGCCAACATGGCTTCACTAAAGGCAAATCATGCCTGACAAACTTGGTGGCCTTCTACAACAGGGTCACAGTGTTGGTGGATAAGGGAAGAGCAACTGACATAATCTACCTGGACGTGTGCAAAGCATTTGACACTGTCCCACATGACATCCTTGTCTGTAAATTGGAGAGACATGGATTTGATGGATGGTCCATGCGGTGGATAAGGAATTTGCTGGATGGTTGCACTCAAAGAGTTGCAGTCAATGGCTCAATGTCCAAGTGGAGACCAGTGACAAGTGGCATTTTGCAGGTGTTAGTGTTGGGACTGCTGTGGTTTAACGTTTTTGTTGGCGACATGGACAGTGGGATTGAGTGTACCCTCAGCAAGTTTGCCAACAGCACCGAGCTGTCATGTGGTGCAGTCAACACACTGGAGGGAAGGGATGCCATCCAGAGGGACCTTGACAGGCTTGAGAGGTGGGCCCATGTGAACCTCATGAAATTCAACAAGGCCAAGTGGAAGGTCCTGCACGTGGGTCGAGGCAATCCCAAGCACAAACACAGGCTGGGTGGAGAATGGATGGAGAGCAGCCCTGAGGAGAAGGACTTGGGGATGTTGGCTGATGAGAAGCTCAACATGACCCAGCAATGTCCACTCACAGCCCAGAAACCAACCATGTCCTGGGCTGCATCAAAAGCTGCGTGACCAGCAGGTCGAGGGAGGTGATTCTCCCCCTCTACTCTGCTCTCGTGGGACCCCACCAGGAGTGCTGCATCCATCTCTGGGGTCCTCAGCACAGGAAGGACACGGACCTGTTGGAGTGAGTCTGGAGGAGGGTCACAAAGGTGGTCAGAGGGCTGGAGCACCTCCTATATGGGGACAGGCTGAGAGAGTTGGGGTTGTTCAGCCTGGAGAAGAGAAGGCTCCGGGGTGACCTTATAGCAGCTTCCAGTACCTAAAGGGGGCTACAGGAGAGATGGGGAGGGACTCTTCATCAGGGAGTGTAGTGACAGGATTAAAGGTAGCAGTTTTAAGCTGAAAGAATGTAGATTTAGATTAGATAGTAGGGAGAATTTTTTTTTACTGTGAGGGTGGTGAGGCAGTGTCCCAGGTTGCGCAGAGAAGCTGTGGATGCCCCATCCCTGGAGGGGTTCAAGGCCAGGCTGGATGAGGCTTTGAGCAACCTGGGCTAGTGGGAGGTGTCCCTGCCCATGGCAGGGGGTTGGAACTCGATGATCTTTAAGGTCCCTTCCAACCCAAACCATTCTATGATTCTATGGTCACTGTTAATTTTTTTTTTTTAAATTACTGAATGCTAACTAGATCTAAGCATTTGGTTTTGCTTTGTTGTACTCTATCTTTAAATATCTGTGTCTCATCAGACCTCTAACAGTACAGTAAGGTCTCATAATATTTGTCATTGTATCTCGGACATCGGGAGTTCAGAGTTATTCTTATGTTCCATAAAGAAAAGATGACTTATAATGATATATCTTTAGTTCTGTCTAAGTTTTGTGGAAGGCTGAATTGGTAGTTTTGATGGTGTTTATTTGTATCAAGAGCTTTGTTTTAGGATTACAGCTGTATTGCAATAGATCCTGTGCAATTAGGTGACACACAGTCTCCTTCCATAGGGTTCAAAGCTCAAGTGTCTGAGAAGTGAACAACACAGAAAATTCTAGGTTAAAAGTGGACATCTCTTGTAGATTCCCTTTTTGCTAAAGTGTGCTTCAACAAGGTCATTCTAATTCTTAAGTGAAAAAAAAATGTTC